TGGAGTGCAAGACTTGTTCAGCACACTGATTAGCACAAAGGCGCGCCTCAGATAAACTCACGGGGAACATAGGGCCGAAATTTTGCTGAATCAATTGAACGAAATGCTCCAGATACGCAATGAGAGCCATGGTGATGATGATGGTGGTAGCTGCGGTGTCGGCAATGAAGAGAGCAATACATGTCTGACAACGGGAGTCCAGCCTTCGACAACTGCCCTCGAGCAATTACAGGATCGTGCTTTCAATGCTCTGGAAGATATCTTGGCAGGACCTCTCTTCGAGGCAATCGATGATTACGCAGTCCTGAAGGTGGACGGGTGGCGCGAGTTCAAACAGGCTCGTGATTCCGTCTCGCCGAAAGAGCGAGAAAACGCCAAAGCCGCCGTAGCAGCCGCGAGCGCTTGGATGCAAGATGGTATCTTCCCCGATATCCTGTTCGCTGGAATGCAGAGGATTGTTCAAAACGGGGGAAGCTCTTATTTTCCACTGGGAATTATAAACCTCTGGAATCTGTTTGCGAGTGTCGGTGAATCGATGCCCGAGGACAATGCGAAGCAGTTCTTCTACGGAAATCTTTCCGCGGAGCTGTTGGGGAAGCATGCGAAAGAAATTGCAGGGACGACGATGGCCGACATCGACAGTTGGTGCAACGATGTTGCATTGTTATACGATGTCCAGATCGGTCGGTGGCAAAAGAAAGCACTGCACAGAAACGAAGCTGTTATGGTTTTGCACACACTTGTTTACTGTTTGGCTGGAGCACTCTTCGCCCTTTACAGATACTTGAAATCGGACTCACCCGATGAACACAAGTATAGGGCCCTCGGATCGCACTTGTTCATGCTTGTTATCGGCATTAGCATACACGTTCCGATGACAGTAGTACATCTTCTGTTGGTCATTTTGATCAAGGACCTCTGGACAACGTTGTCGGATTCACGGGTTGGTCAGCTATACAGATCGCTTCCAGCGCTTCGACCTTAATTGTATCCACTGCGAAAAGAATTAAAGCCAAAATCTGGAAACCTTCTCCTTCCCCTGACGTAAATGATCCTCCTCTCCCCCATGAAGTAATTAATCCTCCTCTCCCCCCTGACGTAGTTGATATTATTGATGAAGCGTCCGGTAAGAAAAAGAAAAAGAAAGTAAACAACAACCAAAATCTCTTAAATCTGCTTTCCGATGGAGTTCAGACAAGGAGTCAGACAAGGAGTAGTAACAAATGAAAGCCCTAAAAGTAGTGCAAGTACAAAATCATTTTAGGTCCACCAACCGTCAAAAAAAACTTTTCCTTTCGGCGTTTGTCTTTTCTGACGTCGACTATCAGAGTCAAAATGACTAAGAGTCACGTGCATTATCCTGAGTATTTCTATCGGCAAGAGTGCATCATCATCAAGTAACATATTGAGCAAACCTTTCATTGCGGAAGCATCCTGGTCGGAGTAATGACGTATGCGTTCTCCCACTATTTCGAGCATTGTTTCGGAACTTATTTCATTCTTCAGGACCCCCTGCTTTGTTCTGTAGGCCGATATATGTTTCCCGACAGGATTAGGTGGGTGAGCCTGAATTCTCAAAGCATCGTCTCCATCCGAAAACATTTTAATCACATCTTCAATACTTTTGTTATAAACCTGCAAATCATACTCGGGTGGCAATTCTTGCCTGTCTTCCCCCACACCTCCTTCCTTCACTCCGAGTAGCTTTTGATGTATGTCGGCCAAACCATCCCTCAACGTCTGTTTCAGTTCACTCTGCTCTGCAACAAGTGCTTTCAGAGTTTCCGCTTGTGTCTGTAGAATGTTGGACCAGTCCTCTTGTATCGTCTCTGGTGGCACAACGTTCGGACCGGTTTGAGCATCATCACCATCTGGATTCTTCCAACCGTCGATCTTGCTCGAGATGCCATTCAGGACTTGCCTGTGTTTCGAGAACCCATTTGCCATCACCGACTGCACCGTTGTTTTCAAAGTGTCGAGGGCATCGTCGGTCCACATGACTCCGTCATGATTACAAACAACAGGTTCGGACGCCGCCGACGAGTCCCTGTTCGAAGCAACCTTGCCCAGCTCAGCAACAATTTTCTCCTTGAGATCTCTGAGGTTTTCCTCAGAAAAAATCGGGCCACCACCACCTCTCTCAATCAAAGATTGAATCTTGTCGTTGATTCCTTTAATGACCATGTCGTGATTACCATGAAGTCGTTTCAACTCTTCCCCGAGCTCGCTGAACTTGTCGTTCGAGTTGGATTTGTTTCCAATGTTGGAGTACAGTGCCAGCAACCTGAACCACTCCATATCCAAACCATACGGGTTGTTGGGGTGAATAGCATACATGTTTTACTCTATGACATTCATAACATTTCGACAAAACGTCAATTGGCACACTCTACGACGAATGCAATCGCACATATCTATAATATCGAACCACAGCGACACAGGTGGCCCTCAGAGAGTCTCCTTGTCCCCCCTTGCAAACCCGTCTGAAGCCTGTATCGTCTGCTGTGGTGGCGCCACATAGCGTAACGACGGGTGAAAAATGGTGGACAGGCTGTCGTCTGTGGAGCGCGCGCGCGTACAGGTCTTGATGTGCAAGTCGGTGCCCAGGATGTGCTTGACCCGCTTCAACTTGGGCTTATCGTGGCAGACGGCGAAGACGAAGCACTCGGTATCCAGGTTGCCTTTGAGGTCGGCCGCCTGGTGTTTTATGAGTCCTTGGTCTTTCATTACGGCAATTATACTCGAAGAGCTGACCAATATATCCATTGCTTGAACCATAATATACACTACGCTGCGGTGTATACTATCACCTACCAGGGCTTCTTCGCCGCGCTTCCATACCTGGAATTTTGTCAACACATCAAAACAAATCCAAAAAATCGCGGGGTACGCGGCACAGGACCCCACTTCAGAGTACTTCATTTTCATATGTACAATGAACACAAGGCTCATGATGCTCATTGCGACGCCGGCCTTCAGTTCGGGTTTACGATCAACCAATTTCTCCTTTTCCAAATCGCCCTGGTCGTCGATTTCACACGAGCCTGGTGTCACCCTGTCCCCGTAGTCGCTGTACCTTCCGACAAGAGCAACGAAAAGCAAGCTGATGATGGTGCTGTACACAATCGTCGGTGTGTGCCAAGACTTGTCCCGGTTTCCACTTTCAGCAAAAAGCATTTCTAAGATGCCAACAAGGGTCATGATATCGAGGGAATGCGCCAACAGTCCAGTGACTAGGGAGTTGTTCTTGCAACTCTGGAATGTTTGTGGCGACCAGCATAGGTAGCTCATCATGCAAACCCACGGCATCCCAGTTGCGGCCAGAGTTACCGATCCGCTCGAAATCCCGTAGGCAGCCACCGCCGCGAAACGAGCGCACAGTCCTCCAAACATTAGTCTTCCGTTCGTTTCGTCGAATGTTGTAGATGTAAGCATCGCCGTGAGGCAACTGTTCTCGTTACTTATGCGGGAGTGATCGAAGAATGATGACGAATGATCAGCCACTAACAACAATAGCATAATTGACAGCTGTGTGGACGGCTGGATAAATTTGGACACAGCCCACTTCCTGTTAGTAGAAATTCCGTACCCAATTATCGTCATGGAAAGCCACAAAAGTCCCACAGGAACATACCCTGCAATCGCTTCCGGAAACACCGGGCTGAAAGCTTTCTTGCACGGCTTGGCGGCATTAGCGGCCTGCCTTTCCTCAAGAGTATCGCACGCCATTGACATACACTAAACCCACAAAAAAATTACGAGAACTGGTTGACGGTGTGTTTCTTGTACAAGTCCATGAACGAAGCAATGTATGCCTCTAAATGCAAATTATATTTCGATCCAATACAGATCCGGTGCTCGTAAACCGCGGCCCGCTTGACAATCTCACGCTTGACACCATCCTCCCCGTCCAAAATTGGATGGGAGATCAACCCATGCATCAGCGGTTTCAAAATAATGGAGGCTGGCACTCCTGCTACCAACAGTTCGTTCAAGCTATCCCTGACATCAATCAACTTTCGCGGACTCTGCTCCAGAAAAACACCTTTACAGATGGATTCGGTGTACTTTACCCACACCATCTTGTCGGCGCTGCCCGCCTTGGCCATGAATATCGCTCGAGAAATGGACCTCCCCGAGCTTTCCACAATTTGCGAAACCAACGCCTTGTCATCGATCTCAATAGCCGCCGCCAAGTTTTCCGCACTAGGAAGTGGCACACGGATCAAGACACACCGCGAACGCAGAGGCTCGATAACTCTCGAGGCAAAGGTCGACACCAACACCAATCGACACGAGGCGGTGAACTTCTCCATCGTCCTTCGCAGGCCCGCCTGCGCCTGCTTACTTAAATTGCCGGAGCCGCGCAACACGATCGTCTTGTGCGTCACGCCACAATTGTTGAAGACGGCGGCGATGGACCCGTTGTTGGCCATCTCCTTGATGGCGTGCTGCACCACATACGTGTCGTTGGCACCGGCGTCGCTCGGTTCCATCTCGATGTGGTAGTTGGATACGCGAACGTCGATCTCGATCGTATGCTTTGACGAGGCTGTCTCCACCACGCGTTTTTCGGTGGTCACTCTGTTTACGCCCGGACCATACAGTTTCTCTAAAAGGTGTCTGACTAGCGTCATCTTGCCCGATCCTCGTGGGCCGTGGAAGAGGAGGTGCGGGATGTCGCCGTGGCGCGACATGGATGTCAACCGATGCTCGATATCGGGGTGCATGGGGGTTGGATCAGACTGTTGTCTCACGAAACAAAATTTACAAAATTTACAGTTGAATGTCGTGAAGCACGGGGCTGTCTTCATAGACGTCCTTGAACTCGTCGCGCGGCGGATGAGTGTGAAATTGATAAGTTGGTTTCCGATCGGCCACGAAGAGGTCGTGGTACATTGGAGGACAGAGCAAATAGAGGAGGCAATAGAGCATTTATATTGATAAAATGTTTTTATTTTCTTCGTATTTCCGCAACTCTTCAAGCGTGACCAGGTAGGTTAGACTCGTTGCTCTCTAACGTCTGACGTCGCAAAAATGTTCAGAGCATCAGCAATGTCGGCCGACGAGAAAGGTTTCGTGATCGAAACAGTTCTGGGGTCGTCGAACTCGTGACTGTCTCCGCTGCAAAGAATGCATGGCAAATCACTTGGTAATCCCCTTACAGCACCTCTCCGCAAGCTGTGAATAACATCTATCCCCGTTTCGTCTCCCATGAAGCTGTCGGTGATGACCACATCAAACTTTTCTTGGTTTGGTTGACCAAGAAGAGCACGAGACTCTTCGGCCGAACACGCATTCACAACCTCGCAACCAAACGAAGTAAAATATTTCGACAACAGTCTCAGGATCACGATTGAATCGTCCATCGCCAGAACGCGAAACGAAAATTGCATCGATATCTGCCCGTGACCGGAGAAGATGCTGCGACGTCTTCGTGGCAACACAAGCGTGAACGTGCATCCTTTTCCCTCGCCGGGACTCGAAACTCCTATCTTCGCGCCTATCGCGTCACAAATGTTTCTCACGTTGGACAAACCAAGGCCAGTTCCCGAACTGATCTGTGATGCTCGTCTGCTCCTGAAAAAAAGATCAAAAACTCTGCAAACGTCTGCCTCACATAGACCGATTCCGCTGTCCACGACGCGAATCTCAACGGTGTTTTCCGAACAACACCCGGCGACCAGAACGATTTTCCCGGTCTGTGTGTACTTCACGGCGTTGCTCAGCAAGTTACACATTATTTGATGGAGGCGCTCCCTGTTGGTGTATACTTCGAATTTTTCGCTGCCGGCGATTCGCACGCCCACTGTGACGTCCTTGTCCTTTCCCTCCAACAGCAGCATTCCCGTACCGACCATGGAATAGACGTTCAACAGTTCTGTAACGTCAACATCTTCTTTGGGGACAACACGATGTGCTTGCTTGCCGTTGACCATGTCCACCATATCAGACACTAGCACGTTACCCAGAATGTTTATGGACTTGACAGTTTCCAGAATTCTGTTGTCCGCATCGGGCACCTCGCATACTGCCTGGATTAAAGTTGCATTGTTTTTCATATCGTGCCCGATCCGGTATAGGTCAAGGGTCTGTCTCTCGGCCAGCTCTTCTGCTTGACAACGAGAGATCCTCTCGAACGTCTGCAGATCGCGGAGTAGTGAGACCAGAATGACCACGAATGCGTTCAAGGCCAACAGAGCCGCGATTCCCATTTGAGTACCTATCAACACCTCTTCTGTTTCACCATTCTTGACAACATGCACAAAAGGTCCTCGGCCGGCCGCCGTGAACCCTAGGATTGATCCTGTGCACGCAAGCTGGACGAGACTTGCTTGGAACTGATCAATACATGCACTGACTCCAACAAGCAGACCATACACTCCGACGATCGACGCAAAACCGAAGAGGTGATAGGTGGAAAAGCCACATATAGATGTGATTCCGAGGAAAGCGCTGATGCCGCAAACCAGTGTGTTGGGCGAGAGAGGTCGGGTTTTCCACATGGCCGGCACGATCAGTAGAGGGTACATCGCCTCGTTGAGGCCGCCTCCGGCACTTTTGATGCATGATGACAAGCAAGAGTTGTAAAAGTTTTCATCTGGCTCGGGGATGATTGATCCGTCTCGGAGGCGTTCCATGAAGTAGAAGTTTGCGAAAAGGGAGGCCAATACTCTTTCCCGGGAAAAGTGATCGATCGCCTCATCGACTTTCTTCTGGAAGGTGTCGCGGTTTTCGTAAGTTGTTGCTGACTGAAAGCCGACAGTTACCGTCCTTGTTCGCAAGAGCTGAGAGACTTCCTCTCCGAACCTCACCTTCGAGAAAAGCCGGCAGCAGAAAGTTCCTTTGAACATTTTCGGAAGCTTCCCTGATGCAGGGAGATACTTTGTAGGATAGAGTCTTCCCACAGTTTGTAGAAAGTCCGGGACGGTCTTGGGCGATGCATCGGGTGTTGCCGTCTTGCGTTTTTTCTTCTCACGCGGGTTTCCGTCTGAAGATGGCTGGACCATGATGAGTTGTGAGCCCATTTGCAAGGTTTACACCTCTCATCTTTGGAGGAAACTTTGGCAAGTAGTTCTAGAACACTGGAGATGCGGCAAAACATGATTGGTCGGGATGGCGCGCGCCCCGCGAGGACGTGATTGGTGGTGAGAGATCATTGCAAGAACGATTTGACACGTCTGGATGCGTGGGATTACGCAATATTCGACTTCGGTGCTCCATCACTGGTCCAAGTCTCGCGTACTTTGCCGACACATTTTTGACGTTATGGAGAATGTGCTTCACGTACGTATCAAGTGTGTATATATACGATGGTTCCTTCATCCTTTTTTGGAGCCGCAGTGTGATTGTGTAACAAGACCCGTGCGTCCACCTCCTGGATATAAAGAGCCGGAGTTTTTGCATGTGCTTTCTCAAGTTTGAGGTTTGATTTCAATCGTTTGAAGGATTCCTCCACCCTCCACCTCGACGCGTACATGACCTTGATATCCCTCCGAGAAAGCGATAGATCGTTCGTCAGGCAAACATATGTTTTACCAGAAATGAAATACTTCAAGAGACGCGCCCTGACACCAAGAATAAGGCACGTTGCTTCCGTGTGACAAGAGTTGAAGAAAGACCTGGTGCCTTTGAACGCATTTATCTTCAGTCGCCAAACCCCAAGCGCATGAGAGTCATGAACGCTTCGTAGCAAGTTCTTGGAGTAGTAGCCTCTGTCAAACACCAGAGTATCCCCTTTCTGCACACTTCGGAGCATCGCAATGGCTGCCTTTCTTTCATTAAAGTGTTTCGTGAGCTCAAAGTCCACACACGCTTTCGTTTTAACGTCCACCATCGAAGAAAGCATGACAAGAGGTCTTTTCGCGGGACGCGCCACCGGTTGATCGTTCGTCCGAGTCTTATAGCCAGCCCCGATGAACGAAGGGTGCACGTGCACTTTCGAACCATCTACGGCGAATACACGTGGTTCATGTGGTCCTCGTGGCAAGAACCGGTTTAGTTTCCTGGCCGAATGTATCGCCTGGGATGAGTACTGTTCGTTTTCCATCCTCAGTATGTGAGCGACACCTCTCTCTTGAATACAACACTTGGTGAGCGTGTAGAAAAGGGAAGATGTATCTAGCTTTCGTCGTCTCTGCATCCACTGTCCGTCGCACTTTTTAAATGCATTGTATATTTCAGGAGACATCGGTTGAGTCATATTCTTGGTTTATCATGAAAAACATTTAAGTTTCCAACATGCTTAAGTTGACGACACTGTTATTGATGGACCACGCGAAAACAATGGCTCTTCCCTTGTTGAACGAGAACTCGGTCAACACTGCGCAGGTGGTGAACAAGAGGCTACAGCGCAGGGAACAGGCAAGAAAAATTTTAGAAGATTTCCCACCACTCCCAGGACCGCCCGAAAACACTGTACAAAATGTTGCAAGAAGAGCGAGGCTCCGAAACAATCAGTTGCAATACTTGGAAACACACCCCGAGATATACATCGGGCATGCCATCGCCCCCGGCGTGGTCGCTGAGCGCCGTGCGGCGATCAGAGACGCCGAGGTGAGGTTGCTGAGGTTGATGTTTCCCCCGACGATCATGTGCAACGTTGTTTTGCGTTCGGGAAAATTGTGCTCCAGAAGGTCGTGCGTCGGGCAGCCCTTGTGTTGGCAACACAAGTTCCTGACCAGAAACCACCGGCTCACTGGTGCCGGTAGGATGAGGTGCGTCGCGCCGCAACACCCGTGCTAGCTAGCTCGTGGCTGCTGCTGTACCCCGGCACAAACGAAGGCAGAAATGATTTATTTATCTTCGGCAATCGATCGCCATGGTTCAGGTGTGGTGCTGTTCCGTGCGCCAAACAATTACCCGACCCGAGTTCGATTCCCACTTTGGCGATTATTGAAAAATAGGTGGCACGACAAACGGGTAAGAATACAGTTTGTTTTGATGTTGGGTGGTCAATACACGACATGCAGTGGCTTGACGATTCTTCCGAGAGCGACGATTCTTGGCTTATCGATTCTTCCGAGAGCGACGATGAAGAATACGAATGGCTGCCAATTGGTGCGAAGTATCGTCCGCCAATTTTTTTGCTTAGGGTAGACCAGAAATTCATCCTGGCTGCAACAGTGTTGCATTTCCACAGGGCGGATCGTTTCATGCCCAACTTTATCAGAGAAGTCACTGGTTATGATCCAAGCTCTCTCGTGTACGACGGTCACATCTTTCACTCTCACAACCCAACAGTCAACTTGACGATATTACCCGACACAAATGAGTCAAGGACCGATTATTATCAAGATAATGTGTGTGCCGAAGGGATACATGGAAAGTGTTTACGCCAATTGGCGAAGAAATATAAGCCACGGGACATCAATCTCAAAATGACAATAAATTCGAGTTTTGAAGAAGACGCACTGCTTTATGACTATTATGGTGAGTCGATAATGAGAATTACTCTCGAGGTCGATATGGACATCGACTTAGGTAGACTGTTGCCTGGACGCATGAACTATTTCAGCTATTTTTTCACGTCGAACTTCTCGCTGAGAATTCCGATTCTGTCGCTCATCAACCTCATGGAGAGATGTAAGGGTCCGATCACCTTTATGCACAACGAATCGGGGGACCCCACGCCGTGGGCCAGAACACTCGAGGGCCCCGACTCGCAGATGCTGTCCCATGTACAACGTCTCGTGTCAACTTCGAAGAACACAGACACGCTGAAATCACTGGTTCAACAGCTAAAAAGGGTACAGGCCCGACAGAAAATACTCGAAAACCAATCAAAGTTTAGGAAAACCGCCAGTATAAAGAAAAACATGGCTGTGCAAAAAAGGGTGGCTGCCAAGATCAAACGCGATATCAGTGCCGAAAAGAAGCGAATAGATTCAGAGAAGAAGGCGACGGATGCGAAAAATCGGGCTGAAAGGGAAGCGAGAAAGAAAGAGGAGGCTGCCCTGAGGTCACTGAAGGAGAGCAAAATCAAAGCTGCTTCGCAAAAAGCAAAGCAACTAAAAGACGAGGAGAGTCGCAAAAAAGCAATGTTGGACGCGAAGAGGAGAGCCGAGAAGGAAAGGAAGCAGGCTCTTGTGCAAATGAAACGGGATGAAAAGAATGCAGCTGCCAATAAAGCGCGACTGGAGTTTGAGAAGGCTCGCGCGAAAAAGGAGAGGGGTGAGATTGCGAGGAGGGCCGCCAAGGTGGCCAAGCAGAAGGTGATGCTGGAAGAGAAAGGAAAGCGCGACAAACAGGAATTCAAGGCACGAAAGGATCGGCAGAGACAACTCGTCACCGAAGAGGCCAAGAGAAAAACAGCAGAAGCCAAGAGAATGGCCGAGATGGAGAAAGCTGCCGCTCGTCGGCTAGCGGAAGTGACGGATGAGAATGAGAGCGAAGTACTGCGGAAGAAGACGGAAAAACAGAAACGTGACTTCCGGGAGAAACAAAAAGAAGCGGCGAGACAGAGAGAGAATGTTGCCCGGGTAGAGGAACGCAAAATGTTAGCGAAGAAACAGAAGGAAGCTGCCAAACTCGAGAGAATGAAAGAAAGCCATCGTCGTGAACAGACAGAACTGGCGAACCAGGAAAAGGCGGCAGAGGCGAGGGACAAGCAGCGTGCGACGAACGCCGCCCGAGTGGCCGCAGATCAGAAACAACGCCAAGACGCGCGCAAAAAAAAGGAACGAAAAGCACTGGCTCTGAAACACGCGCAACTTGCGCTTGAGAAGAAGAACGCCGTTGAGAGTGCCAATGCGAAGGCCGCGGCGAAAAAAGCAAAGGCAGATGTGGTCACCAAAAAGGCATCGGCGAGGCAGAAAGGTCTAGATCGGGCCAAGGCTCAGGCTGAAAAGCGTCAACACGTCCGAGAGGCTAGGGCGAAGGGCGTGCGCAAAAAAACAGGCGACAACGACATGTGGGACACCATCCAGAAAATCACGGGTTTGAGTAGGATTCAGCTGGGCAGGAGGGATGCCGTTGCACAACTCGACCAACTCGACCACGACGTCCTCGAGAGGTTGTCGCAGTATCTCGAGACTCTGGACGAGATGAAAAACGGCCAGGTGCCCACGCTGAAAGCCATTCTGAAACTAGCAATGTGGCGCAAGGAACTGTTTGAGATCGGAGGCGAGATCGGGATCGACTTCGCTCAAATGAAACCCGATAAAATTGATGCCAACAGCTTAGGCATCGACGACCTGGAGAAATTTATCGAGCACATCAAATCCTTTCCAAAAAAGACTGGGGTTCCCCGATTCTTGGCCAGTTGGAAAGCCATCCTTCAACGAAAGACGGGCAAGACACCTGGCGAAGAAAAGCAGGAGCGAGCTCGGGTTGAAAAGAGGGAGATCATGGCGAACATCGAAAGAATCACAGGGATTCCGGCTGAAAGAGTGAGAGGTGTGCACTCGCTGGCGATTCTCGACTCCGGTGTCCTTCACCAAGTCTTGGAATACTTCAGGACTCTGGATGCACCCTTTATTACGCAGAGCATACCAACATTAGTCGAACTTTTCATCGCAAAGAAGTTGGTCGAGATTGGGGAAGAGACGGGTGTTGCTTTGAATTTAAATGTAACAAACAAGCAAATGGGTGGGCTCGAGCGCATGGACATGATCGGGCTAGGCAAGATGATGGAGTTCCTCGAAGAACACGGCTCTACTTCAAGCGTGGCATCAGGCTACTTGGTGCGGGTGAAGTGTCTCCATTTATGCGAAGAAGGTAAAGGCCGTTGAAAAGAGAGAAGATCCACCCTAACAAAAACTATAAAGTGTAGTTTGCGCATGGTGTATCTGACGGAGCCGTTTGGGGATGCTGAAATAGCTTTGCACGAGGCGCGCGTTAAACTGGAGAACGTCCGAAATGGTGGTTTAATGGCACCCTTGTACGCAGCAATGGCTAAGCTGGAGGTGGCCGAGCGAGACTACTTTGCAAGACGGTACTTCGACGGAGACAAAGCTATACTAAAAGGCTGGACCGTTGCAAAATTCAAACTAAAAATTGCCCAATTGTATAAAACCAACAAGGAAAAAAGAAATGCTTTGATGCAAGGAAACTCCGGAACGGTAACCGCAGGGTATAATGATATAGCATTGCATTCTGCCAATGATGCTTTTTTGACGGCGTGGATTCTCAACGACATGTATCGAAGATATTATTCCACCGGAGGTGTTGCTCGAGCAACACCAGCGCAAACAGACTTAGACCAAGATTTAGAGTCAGTCGAAAATGTTATCCCGGACATTAACGAGCGTCTCCGCCTGGCCTCAGCCCTTTCCTCCACCGACGGAACGAAGCAAGCGTCCGTTACATCTATCAAAGCTTCTCTTCGGCGCGCAGAAATCTGTCAGCGCCTCGCTCGACTGCTCGCGAACAACCAGTGGGATCTTCCGGGTGACTTGGAAACGTCATAAATCACGTCGCCGTAACCTGGCCACCGCTCGTTCATTCCGGCAACTGAACGTGATCGGATGAAATGTGATTTTGCTGACTTAAAATGTTGACATGCGTTAATATACCTGTGAGTGATGCTTCGGGTGTCATTCTTCTTGAACCAGCGCGACAAGATTGAAATGTCCACAACTGCCAGCGGCGTGCACCAGGTTTTGAAGCATTTCCTACCGACTGCTTCCGAATACGCCACGACAGTGAAGCCGAATTTGCTTCCGGTACCCTCGTCGGACGATGGTGTGTACGCTATCCCAATCGGAACGTTCCCGGCTCATCCGGATGGTTTCTTCGACTTATTTACTGAGTGCACACCGGGTGTAATGAAGACAGCGACTACTATTTGGCATGGACTTCTCACCGTCTTTTCGGCAAGTGTTGTCCCTACAGGTCTCCCAGACACATCATTTCTCTTGAAATACCCATACTGAACTTGGGGTTTGAGGCGCTCATTATTCAGAGACTTCGTGATTCCGTCGATCGTCAGTTGCGTGACGATGACTCTTTTCCATACACACCTCGTATCCTGGATGCAATTGAGAGCAATACTTCGATAGTGGAAATTGTAGCACAAAACCACGACTTGTCCCCCTGCCGATGTGACTTGTTCGAGTGTTTGTCACGAAGGTCTACTGATATCGAGAGTCTCGTTACATTGGGTGAATGCTGTGCCGACGCGTACCAAGCGATTGCCAATGGCTGTATCCAAGGTCTGAAGAAGTTGGCTATTGAAAAAAATGTGGGTAGTAATTTGGATGGATACAGGGTGGATATTGTATGCGAGGCGGTTTCCGAAGTTGGTATTCTCGAGAGCCTCGAGATTGATGGCGCGATTGCAGACTATGACGGAGGGGGTGATGGACTAGTTCGCGTTCTCGACACGTGTCCTCTTCGTTCTCTTAGTGTTAACGCTTCTCTTTTTTGGGAGGGTGCTTGGTCTGAAATGGTTCGCGTCTTGTCGAAAATGAAGGCAGTAGACGTCAAATTCACAGAGCTTAGGGTTTGCTGCGATTGGATGCGACCGGCGTTCCACGCTTTGTTTTCAAACACATCGATTCAATCACTCGATCTCTCCTTCACCGACATTGGGGGTGGCAATATTGGTGCATTGGAAAGTATGGATAAGCGGGGAACACATATCAAGCTGGCCATTAGAGAGTGTTCCATCGGACGCGACGGTAATAAAAGTGTTCTGCAGGCCACGACCCATGTCGACAGCAACCTTAGGTTCATCAGTATCAGCGACACAGATCATCCCGATATGTTTGCGGGGTTGGTGAACACATCTCTGGAAGTCGTCATCTTGAGGCATTCGGTGATGCTGCCGCGACTGAATCCCTCGCAAAGTTGGTTGTAGCTAAACGTTTGAGTGGACGCGCATCATTAGAGACACTTCATTGTTTTTACGATTTTCAGATATTAGTGATCGATTGAGTTTGCTTGACGGGGAAGTGTCGGGAGAAGTCCGATTCAATCAAGTTTTTACATAAAACAATCGACATAATGCACACACACACATGTCGCCACAACTTCCATCGGATACCATGACCAAAGCGTCTAACGGAAAGGGCAGGGGCAAGGCCATGGCCACTCCAATGAAGACATGGGCCCCATCGGTTGAGGTTTGGAAACCGACACACTTGACCGGTTTGTACGAGGTTTCAAACTTGGGGCGTGTTCGTAGGACGGATTCCAAAAAAGTCCGCATCAACTCGACCAACCGCCATGGATATCAGCTCCTCACACTTCGGGTCGGTGGCAAAGATTTCACTAACCTTGTCGGAAGACTTGTGCTCGGGGCTTTCGAGAGAGCACCGATTGATGGAGACGTGGCGCATCACATCGATCGCGATCGCGCCAATGATGAGATCGAAAACCTAAGGTGGACAACCATTAGCGAGGCGAGCGCCGGGCGGTCATACCCATCCGCGATTGCAAGCAGACCGGTCGTCGCCACCAGTGTGAATGGGGGGGAAGATCTTCTCTTCATATCAGCTCTCGAGGCCTCGGCGTTCTTCGAGACTAGTCGTGCTTCTATCTACGATGCCATGCGCTTCGAACGATCTTTGGAGGAGTATACGTTTGGGTACGACAAGTCGAATGGTCCCACGGGGGAAGTTAAGAAAATAAGGGGATCTACATCACACTTGGTGTCGTCAGATGGTAGAGTAAAAATGTCGAGGGGTCGATGGACACAGGGGTATAGACACACCGTCAAGTCACAAAACGGGGATCGATGCTACAGAAGGGTCGATATGACACTGCTTGTTGATGGCAAAAGCATAAAAAAAAGGTAGTACGTGCACGTACTCGTGGCCGAGGCGTTCATTGGAGAACGCCCGAAGGGACACCAGGTGGATCACATCGATGGATTCGAAGGAAATAACGATGTGTCTAACCTAAGGTATTTGAGCCCGAGTGATAACAATAGAATCGCCTACGCCAGCGGTCGAAGGCAACCTCCGGGGGAGAAACCGGTTCTTCTCATCAAGCAAGACGGCACGTTCCAAAGAAGTCGTCGTCGGAAGGCGCGCGACAGATGGGTGTGAACGTCGCCACGGTTCCTATCAACTGCTCATCGGGTAGGATGAACAAGCATGGCGAAAACTGGGCTCACGACAAGCCTGTGGTGAAACTTGGCGGAGATGGATTCGAATCACTTTCGAAAGCCTCCGATGACACCGGAGAGAGCATTCTGAGCATCCTTTTTTCGTGTAGAAACACTGGTGATGATTCCTGGGCTTGTGTTGACTGAAATAGATTCGAGAGGTTTGAGTTAATTAGCACCTGAATCAGGCAGGGTCGCGTGTATTCACAACTCGAATCACGATGTCATCGAAAACTAATAAATATTGATATTCAATCAAACTTCCATAGATACCCTCTGAGCTGAACACCTTTCGCTATCGGCGACTTCAACGTCCGGTGTGCACAGCGGATTTTCGATATAACTTCGTTGATCGTCTCGTACTTGTGAAGTACTTCCTTAGTAACAGGATCCATCTTCAAAACCGCGTGTGCCTACCACCAGTAGTTTTGTCGGGAAAGGGTCCCCTGTACGATTTCTGCAGCTCGTCTCCGCACTCTGACCATGGCCTGATGACATGACCGTGTATTTTGTCACCCTTGTTTCTTCGTTTTTGGAGAGCTCCGGTCGATAGAAACCCGTTTTGTTCAGCAGCCGTTTTGAAGTCCGGATATAGCTCTGCAACTTCACTTTCATCCGAACTCAGCAGGGCCACCCGCCCTTTGTGGATATTTTTCTTTAATATCGTGGGTCTCAGTTGTTGAACAGTGCCGTCGTCAAGATTCCTGTCGAGTTTCATCCACCGATAACCAGCGTAGATGAAGTCACCTTCACATGCTTTAACGACACCGGCACGGTAGATTTTTTCATCGAATTTCCATTGGTCGTCGCGCAATGTGTCGATGAGTCGATTGAACGTTTTGACAAGGTTCCCGTCCTCAGTGTAAATCTGAATTTTCGGCCCCAGACTTGTGTTGTGTCCTCTCTTGGACTCCTGTTGCACCTCTTCTGATCCACGAGTCTTGCGTTTCTCTCCGAACACTTTAGCCACCTCGGCCTGTACCACATCTTCCGCGATGTCCTTGATGTCTCTGATCTGTTCCGTGTCCCTGCGATACTGCACTACGTTTCGTATAGCAATACCGATGGCCTTCTTCAATTCTTCGCCGTTCATGGCGTAAGTCTCCATAGAAACTTTTCCATTGTAGATAGGCTTTCTGTATCGCTTGATGTCCACGTGTTGATGCAGAAATCTCTCGAATCTGTCGTGCTCCTGACACTCGAAGACCCTGAAAACTGTGAAGGAGCCGTATCCATTGCGAAGACTGCCGACCCTTTGCCTGATATTTCCCGTAGGTCCAATTTTGATGAGTGACTTTCCGTCTTCGATATCTGCGATTTTCCCGTAATACACGAGCTTTTTGTTTTCAAAGCCACCAAGAAGGACAGAGTGGGTCTCCATCTCTTGCTGGGATTTGTAGTGCATCAGAAGATCGGCCTTTTCGTTGTCGTTCTGTCTTTTAAGATCGTCCAGCTGTTTGGAAAGTTCGTACTTTCCCGTCTCGCGAATGGTCGCGATCACATGAGCGACCCACTTCTGGAAGGGGCGCGCAATGGGTTTGTCTGATCGCATGAGCAGTCGATATACGCCCATTTCAGTCAAGAACGTGCAATCTTGGTGACCTCCACGGGTGTCGATCGGTTGAACGACCTTTTCATCTTGGTCAAAGTGTTGGATTGACGATCGAATTTTTTTGAGACCAATGATTTTGCCGAGCTTGTCGGCTCTGAAGATAGGTTTGCCGTCGACGATTTGAATGTCGACGTCGTATTGCGTGTTGTCAAAGACAAATGTCTTGAGAACGTCCATTTGCTTGATTGAAAATCAGCGGACTTTTTGACCTTTGTAAACAACTCTTGTAGCACAAAACAATATTGCTAGGACCAACAAAAAGTGAACGTGGCACACAACGATGTGGAGTCGCCGCAGATGTCTCGCTTCTCTCGCTTGCTTTTTCTTTTTGGCCTCCGCTTCGCTGGCACTGTTTTCTTTTCCTTTTTTGTCGGGGCCTTCTTCGTCATTTGTGCGGATACAGGGGCAAAGGTGATTCCGCTCTTCTTCATGGCTATGGCTACGGCGCATGCAAGATCACTCTTGTAATTTTGTGAAGTCGCCATTGGTGTTTACTGTACCCCAACAAAATATTTATAGTTATTATCGCTTCACCCAACATTGAAATATGGGCTGCGGTGGCTCGCGGAGTTCGCGGACGTTGCCAGCCGTTCGTTTCCCATCATCGACCGAGACACTTGACGATGACAACGTCGACAAGAACTACACCTGCTCTCATTGCGGAGTAGGTCCTACTCACCAGCATCAAACGCCAGAAACAACCTTGTGCTTGACCCGACCCTATTTTCCGACGTTATTAGCCCTTCCACGGCTTGCGGCGTCCGGAACACCACCACCGACACGACTTGCGGCTCGCGCTTCTCCGGTACAAGCCTTTCTATGTCGTGCAGTTTGTCTGCGCCATCGTCTCACTGCTCCGACGAACGCTACCCGCTCCCGCCACTTTCGGTGCGAACGGAACCCTTCCCTCGCTTACATGAACATTAACCGGAAACAGCGGGAGAGAAGGTAAAGCCTTGTGTGCGCACAAACAGAAAAAATGGGCATCACAAGTTCGAAGGTGTACGACTTGGAGGACAGGATCATTATCTTGCAGCGCGAGGTGAAGCAACTGAAGGAGAAGATGGGTAAATCGACAGAGAATGCCGAAGAGCTGAGGCAGAAAATGCAAAAGCAGGAACAGCTGACTCAGCAGCTCGACGCTTTCGCCAGAGCGACGTCGGCCGAATTGCTGGCCGCGAGACGCCCGCGTCTTTACAATTGGAATTGATGAGAGGGTTTACTGGTCGACCAAATTCAACACCAAAGTATAAATTTCGGCATGGTGGTTTTCTGTGCGTTTGTTGTGCGTTTCTACTTGTTCAAGTTACAGGTAAAAAGTGGGCCTTACAACTCCCGCGGGCACCCTTTGCTCACGGCCCACGCGAGCATTTCCAAATCTCCGTGCAGTCCCGCCGAGTGGCAAACGAATCTGTCGAGCGGGAACCCGCTGGAAACTGCCCACGCGAGGGCGCGCAAGTGTCTCCCGGCGACCGCCCCGGCGGTGCATGCGTATAGCGCCGTCGGGCGTTTGTTGGCGAGCAGTAGGTCGAGCACGCATCTATTGCCGATTTTCGATGCGTGGTAAAAAGCGGCGTTGTTGATGGACCTGTGGCTTTTCAAGGTCGGAAGAATGCTGCTGACCCTTGACACGCTGGCGACCGCTTCGCATACGGACGTGTGTCTGCTGCCGCCATACGCTTGCAGCCAGGCTTTGCTCACGGTTGCGGAGTATAGGTAGGCGTTGCCGCAAAAGGCAAGAATGTGGGAGATGGTGTCGGGGTTCATTCTGTTTTGGTACTATTATAGTCTAAGCGATCATTAAAATTCTCGGGGACCACCTACGCGGCAGCTCCCCGTGGTGGCGGACAGGCAGTAGCAGCAGCAGCGAACTGATAATCATGTGCAACCACGCTTCAGATTCGTCTAAATAACATTTCGTACATAGCAATATTTTGAACAATTTTAAATGGTGGACCACCCTTACTCAATAAGCGGTACGTCTGCTGATCATCGGAGCACAGTTCGAATTTCGCTCGATGGCTCTCGCCAGAATGAACAAAAGCTCCAGTGGATCTAAACATTCTATAGTACTTTGGGAAGACGGATGTTTCTCCCGTCACGGTGGGGATTTGGAGATTTTTTTCGGACAGCTCAATTACGACAAGAGTAATTTCTCCATTTATACCAAAGCGCACGGGTGGTGTAGCGAAAGATGGCAAGACCCTTTTGGTAAGATGTGCAGTGGCAAGACGGAGTGCTGCTTCAAGCTTTTTCACCAAATTGCGTATAATCTGTTTAGCTTCTTGAACAATATTTTGTACAATTTGTTGCCGCGCTGTGTACTTCCTGATAAAATGCACGACGTACTTGTATACGAACTCGAACTGTTCGGGGCTGTATTTCTCAGCCATGTCAACAAGGTGCGAGCACATGAGCGTATACTCTCCCATTGCGCTGGAATGGTTCAATAGTGACGTCAGGCAGAATACGAATGGATCTAGTTATGCAAACCCGGCCAAGCTTTGCAACGTGGTTTTCTTTGGTTTGCGTATCATGAGCTCTATTAAAACGTGCTCTGCACCTCTCGTGCAGACCACTTGACGAAGATTGGGAAACTCGTTCATATTCTGCATGATACCAATTTGATTCTCCAGTGAATGATCACCCTCGGCATTGCCGTACAACGCGAACATGCTCCAAAGGCCGATAAAGTGCATGAGTCCTGCATATTCTTTCTTGAAAAGCTGTACAATTTGACTTAGCTGCCGGAGCTTCATTTGTGGCGACTGGTTTGTTCTGGGTCGTTCATAGAAATGAATTACTACCATCTTGTCACCTTCGTCACCATGTTTACCTGTTTCGTCGTTCGCGAGGGTCAAAGCGTTTGCTAAATGGACACTCGTGGCTCTGAAATGCTTTTCAATCTCACGGAACATTGGAAACTCGAGGTCTTCGCTTTGGATGAAAACGTCCTCCTCTTCCATGTCCTTACTAAAAGCTTCAATCGCAGCGATTTGACGTTTTTCTCGTAATTCTTGCAACGATTCCATGCTTTCTTCCGCCTTTCCCTCGTTCTCTGAGGTAGAAGCTTTTTCCTCGCAATCCTCGCGGATGTCTAAAGTTGTCATGCCATTGAAAACGCTTTCGATATCAAGAGGATCTGGTTCACGTACTTCCTTACCCTCCTCCTCTTCGTCATTCTCCACGATATGTACTTCTTCATTTTCATTTTGATTTGTTTCTTCCCTTGGCCAGCTATCAAGAATATTTTCCATTTCTTCGACGTACTCAACCAGTGCTTCTCTCTGTTGTTCAAATTGTTTCGCGGCGTGTGCGTGCCTTATTGTTTTCGGCCAGTTGATATGTCTGTCAGGGATGCATCGCTGTTGATACAAAACTCGATTCTTGGCACAAGGCCCAAGCTCGAACAAGATGCCTTTCAGATTTACGAGATTATCTCTCGATGGGTGGTGCATCATGTCCGTAACGTACTCGGTCAGGGCATGCAGATACTCTGTCAAGTTGTTCGTATCGATGTTTACAATAGCTCTCAGGTCATGCGCGAGATTACCGCATGAATTTTTACAGTTTCTAATATAGGTATTACAGTGACGCCTGTCTTCCATTTTTTGTTAATAGAATCAAGTAAATATTTAAAAATACAGTTTCATCTCCCGGGACAACAGTTCACGTCACCATAAAGAATGTTAAGTGTGTAAATTAAAATAGTGGCCAGGCATAGGATAGGCACTCTTACAATAACCATGCTCGCCGAATCCAGCATCGACCTGGTGGTCGCCTTCCTGCCGGATACGAAATCTATGGCAGCGGTCGCAACGACCGAGAGGCTCGCGAAAGACGCCGTGTACGGCAACATCCCCTTCGCCTTGAAAGCAGCGCAGCACAACATGACCAAGTACCAGAGAGAAATAGTGTGCCATCTCCCTGAGAACCCGGGACTCGGGCACCTGAAGGCGATCGTCGAGCGCAGGTGTCTCGTCTGCCACAAGAGCTACATCGGCGGAATTCGGGCGCCGTGGGGAATCCCGGCGCACCCGGCGTGTACCAAGGGCCTAGAGACCAACGCGCGCTACATCGACGGCGGAATACTGACCGGGCTAATGCGCTTCGTTCGCTCGACTATCCCGGTAAATGTCAGGGGAGGGTACAGCTCGTACCACGGCCAGTTCGAATTCAACACCATCATCACCAAGGCCATCCCTGGCGTCATCCCCGAAAGCATGACTCTCGCGTTTTTTTACAAGGTTCATGAAGACAGGGTGAACGCTCGGCGGGAGAGAGTGCGTGCGGAGGAAAGAGCAAAAGAAGAGAAACGTAAGCGCTCGGCCGAGGAGCAGAGGAAATCGCGTCAGAAGAGGCAGAAGGTCTTAACCGAGGACCGGAGGGCGTCGATCGAGAGCATGGTCGACACGACTTACCTCCGGTGGATACGCACGGTCCCGAACTACGCAAAGAAGTTCGTGTCCAAGCTGTCGGCGAAGGAGAGCGTTGCCGCCGTGACTATCATCCGCGTCAACGCAGACCAGTCCGAACAAACGCACACTGTAGTTCTAGGTCGGGGAAAGGAGTTGAGCAGCGCGTATGCACTTGCTCGCAAGTACGGAGAACAGGCGCTGGTCTTGCTCCGCCGGGGTTATTCCGTCAAAAATGCTCGTGGTACTCTGATCTCACGCGAACGGAAAGCGCAGAACAGCGGTAAGGTAGGAAATTTGGCGCCGTCCTCTCAGGGCACGGTAAGGACATGTGGTTGTGGCTCTCTATCTGCAATGAAGTGCGTAAACAACATGTGTGGCGGATGCTGTCCGAGAGTTCACTGCCAGAGGCATAAGTGACTTGAGGAGGTGATTGTGCGTAGGGAAAGGGGGGGAGCAGAAGGAACCTGCAAGACTCGGCCACGCCCGATCTGCAAAAATGTGTACAGCGAACGCGACGAGGACATCATTGAGCAAGCTATCCGCGAAGTGATGACTCAAATCTTCACCGGATTATACACAAATCGTTGCAACATTTTCGCATAATCCACCCCTTCGTCCACCACTTTGACCACTTTTCTGTTGACGCGCTTGTATGTGATGATAGACAGCGCACACCCGTCCCCGATGGCCTCGAGTGGCGTCCTTTTGTCGCACGGCAAGTCCATCGTGCCCCCCGTAAAAATGTACACATTGCTATCACCGGGTTCCAACGCCACCTCGACGGTCCTTGGCGACCCTCCCGCCTCGAGGCAAGTTTTTTGTCGATGACAGCGAACACAGAGCATCTGCGTATTCTCCTCAACCGTTTCGCCCCCTCGGCACACGCCGATGACGTGATCTGCATCACAGTTGGCATAAGGTTGCAGGTGAATCAGGTCGCCACACGAGTTACAACGCGATCGTTGTGTCTGTAGCACTGCTTGCTTCTGTGATCTCGTGAGGTGTTTTCGCGCACGGGGCCTAAGGTTGTGTGACGGGCCAACGTAGGCAACGGGTGCTTGACCGACACCGCCGAAAACGGGGAGAAACGTGCACCTCATTGTTTGAACTATTATTAATTATATTTCTACAATTTTATATTTCTTCTCGTAAGGCAGGGTGATCCTCTCTGAGGAAACAAATCTTGCGCCCCCCCCCTCCCTTTTGTTGTGTAGAGAGAGTTTCTTTCAAGTACCTCTCTGAGGCAGGGTGCCGGCGGTGCCGATCGGCGAAAACAACTCCGCGGCACCGTCTTTACGCAGGAGTCGGACCATGCGACCAATGGTTTCAACGTCGGCTACCGGCGTCACTGGCCCCTTTCCGTTGATTTTTATGTACGAGACCTTGCCCCTGAGGTCTTCGCGGAGCTGCGATGCAATGCATCCTGAAAATACGTCGGGCCTGCCGGGCGTTTCCGCTCCGGAAGCACGTGCTTTCCTTGCAGTGATCTTCGCCTTGTGCTATCCGGAGTGTTTCTTCTTGTTCGGCATGGTGGTTTTGTTTTCTGTGCGTTTGTTGTGCGTTTCTACTTGTTCAAGTTACAGGTAAAAAGTGGACCTTACAACTCCCGCGGGCACCCTTTGCTCACGGCCCACGCGAGCATTTCCAAATCTCTGTGCAGTCCTGCCGAGTGGCAAACGAATCTGTCGAGCGGGAACCCGTTGGAAACTGCCCACGCGAGGGCGTGCAAGTGTCTCCCGGCGACGGCCCCGGCGGTGCACGCGTATAGCGCTGTTGGGCGTTTGTTGGCAAGCAGTAGGTCGAGCACGCATATATTGCCGATTTTCGATGCGTGGTAGAAAGCGGCGTTGTTGATGGACCTGTGGCTTTTCAAGGTCGGAAGAATGCTGCTGACCCTTAACACGCTGGCGACCGCTTCACATACGGACGTGTGTCTGCTGCCGCCATACGCTTGCAGCCAGGCTTTGCTCACGGTTGCGGAGTATAGGTAGGCGTTGCCGCAAAAGGCAAGAATGTGGGAGATGGTGTCGGGGTTCATTCTGTGGTGTAAACGATCATTAAAATACTTGTGAGCACATCAGCAGCACCTGCTCCAGCACACCGTTTTCGATGATTTTAATGTTTTGAATCAAAGTATGCAAACGAACCATGGCAAGGACGTGGAAAGAAGTCATCAAGATGTGGAAGGAGGGTCGCATGCTCCCGGAAATCAAAAGCAGTGTGTTCTGGGAGTGCTCGCCAGCGTACAACGGTGGAGACAGCCTCTTCCACTCCAAGATCAAGAGCGCCGCGCGTGTTCTACCCGCAAAGACGCCCGCTGATCGGAACCCATTTGCGATGCACCTCCGGCGCGCCCGTGGCGTCCCGGTGAGCTTCCGGAGCAGCAGCACGCCGTCGACAACACTCGTGATCCCACCCGACTCCGGAAAAAACTTCTCTCACATTGGCAATTTTTACAAGCACTCCACCCTCGGCGAGAGAAAGGCGTTGTGGAGGAAGGTTGCGATAGAACTCGAGAAGAAACTTGCTCGCGGGGAGACGGTGTATGTCAGCACACACGGCGGCGGCGTGCACTGGGTGCACGTGCGCTTGTCGCTGACGCCGAGGTACAATGTGACTGATGTGGCGTATGTGGCGTGAAATGTGGCACTCGCATGTCTCGAGCGACTGCAGTTGTACTTCAAACGCTCAAATCGGTGATCATCTGCAAAAATATGTTGTTCTGTATCATAAAGCCAAATGTCTCAAACGTACAACAAGGTCACCTTCACTCTCTACGATCTGGAGTTCCACTTCGCGGAGTTCGAGTTGTACGATATGAACGGTGCCAACATCGCTCTTCTAGGAACTGCCTCCAATTCCAACACAAAGTGGAACGGATATGCGCATCTGGGTAATGATAGAAATACCTCACCCGTGTTCACAGGTGACGAAGCTGTAAATTCCGAATATGAGTGGTGACCCCAATGGTGCCACGTGGACGCTTGACCTAGACAAAGATTACCCGAAGTCAGATTTGTGGAAGGTAGTTGTCTACAACCGCGTTGCGGACCGCGGGGAAGAACAGCGCCTGATTGGAGCAGAAATCTTGCTGCATTCCTCCGACGGGTCAGAGACCGATCAGGTTGGTACATGTACCACCGACGTCGTGCAGACGTTCGTCATCACGGAGCCTCCTCGTAGTTTCAACCAGGTCGTGATACAGAGTGCGTCGCAGCAATACCTTCAGGTTTCCGAGTTGGAGTTGTACACGATGAATGGCACCAACATATCTCCACTGGGAACGGCCACACTGAGCTCCGCGTGGGGAGACAAAACGGGCGACTTGGCGATCGATGGAAACAACGACGTCACCGACTTCAGTTCTGTCGCGATAGGACAGCCGGATTCAACCTGGACACTCGATCTGGACAAGGCCTATTTCGAGTCAGAGCTGGAGAGAATCGTCTACTACAACAGGGGCGACGGAACACGCGGAGAAGAGCAGCGCGCGACCGGTTCAACCATATCTTTTCACTCTTCGGACGGGATGGACTCCGTGCAAATCGGGGTTTGTAACTCTGACCTAGTGCAGACGTTCGTCATCACCGCCAAACAGGTTTCCATCGTGCTCTCTCCCCGCGTGACGAGAATCCGGGCCACCATCGCAGAGATCGACGGGGCCTTGTCGTGCAGGGTCGTGGTGGGCGAAGAAGGGGCTGACTCCACCATGGCCACGGTGACCCACGACGACATCACCGGCATCGTTACGGATCGTACGGTGGATATCAAGAATTTGCAGGCGGAGACGACGTACCATGTGACGTTGTATGCAAGCTTCGGCAGCGGGTACGAGGTAGTGCAAACGAGTAGCACGCAAACTCTGGCCAATGTTGCATCGAGCTACAGCGTCTCCGACTACGGGGCCGCCGGTGCGTACGACCTGAGTGCCCTGGGCCAAGCCGAGCTCGATGGCGTCAGTGAAGTCATGAACGAGCTGTTCGCGACCGGAGAAAAGGTCGGTGTCAAGGTGTCCGGTAAAAAGAAAGCCACGCTTTCTTTCGTGAAAAGAGGAGAGGTCACGACCACGGATGATTCCGTGCTGTCCCCGTTCAGCAGCTCGGGCGGCAGCGGCCAAATGTTCACGCTGCAACTCTCTGATGCGTCGACGAAGACGGTGGCGTACGACGAAACAACTGATTCCATCACGATCGGCGGCGAGGAATATACGCCCGGGGACAGGTTCGTTTTGGACGAGAAGAAATGCACAATACTTGAGGTGTGATTTGGTTAATAAGTGTGCCACCGTCTGATCTGCTTTCAGACTTTGGTACCACTGCGCAGTGGGGGGACAGTGGCACTGATGATGTATTTTTCATTCATTTTCTACGCGCGCCCTTTTGGAACGAGGCGGGCTGTCCATTTCAGACACCTCTTCCAAAGTGACCCTTACGGCATGCGCGTCGCACACCAACTTAGCAAATCAAAATATTTCTGCGTACCGACTTCACCGGCGTGTGCAAAGAGATGTAGACGTTTGGCCAGAGAAGGGTGGAAGCAATGATATGCAAGAACTTGGCCTAGTCCATGCTTCCACTGTTTGTAGTACTTTACCTCGATCACTTCGGTACCACTGAGTACGTCGATGTTACCCGCAGGTGTTTCTACCTCGGGTTCTCCTCCGACGAGGGAAGCCAGTGCGTCTCGAACCCAACACTCCTTTACACTGGTTGACTTCTCTACATGTTGGTACTCGATTGGCTCGATTAAAGCCTGTTGGATGGCTGGGCCCCCCTCAACCGACCTCCATGTCAGGTTGTTCTGTTCGATTTCTTTGAGCAAAGCTAGGTCGCCGCCCATAACCCTACACATGGTCTCTGCCGATTTACGGCGGAATGTGGCCGAAGTCCGCCCGGGCAACTTCCAGACCATTTCGACCAGAGTTTTCAAATCCGCTACCGGCGTTTGATGTCCCGAACCGTTAATTCGAATGTAGCTTGTGCGGGATCTGAGTGATGGCGTACAGTCATCTACCGCGAAAAGGCGTTTTAACGTGGTATGTGCTGCACTGGAGTCACTTTTGAGCACCATCCTCACCACGTCGATCGAGCTGGCCTTTCCAGAAGATTTGTCGATACGCACTGTTTCAAGGATGATGTTGATATCACAAAGTGCTTTACGAACAATATATGTCGTTGTTCCGAATCCAGGTTCCGGACAAGGCTGTACCATCGGAACATTTTCTTTTAGGTCACCACATATTGTCTCGGCCGGACAGGACTTCATCGTAGAAATATTTCCAACTGTTGGACGCGGGAACAAGTGAGGCTTTATGGTGCTCATTTGTGTTTCATTGATTCGTGTCAACATTCGCTCTCGCGGTGGGCACGGTGGTGGTTTTGCATTGGCGAGTTCATCTGGCCCCCAAAAATATGTTTCAAAACTTTAATTACAGCAGTCATGAACCTCATTGAGAATATGGACACCTCAAGCATCCGCGTAGACAAAGACACGAGGAAGGGAAGTGCCATAGACACAGTCCGAATGGTGCTTAGAGGCGACTCGAGTGTGGCAAATACCTCCTTGAAACGTCTTATTCAAGCAAACCCAAAACTTGGATCTCAATGTTCCCGGTTACGAATCAATGGTAAAGGGAATGTCACGCCGGTGGCCGACGCCAAAACCCTTATTGAAATTGTATGGCTGCTTCCTGGCAAGAAAGCACGCGAGTTCCGTCGCCAGTCATCCGCAAAGGTCTGCCCGGCGGCGATCTGAGCCTCGTGTCCGAGATCGAGACCCGCCACGCTACTCTCCAGAGCACCGAACAGGGACAAGAGGAGGCGGTCGAAACATTCGATGGCATGCCGGCCGGTTTCAAGTTCCTTGCGGAAAAAGACCGTGCGGAGCTCGCCAAGCGGATGTTTGAACAACAGCTCAAGGTTGGTGAGCAAATGCTCCTCGAGAGCCAGACAATACCAGCAGAGTATCAGCACATCAGCAGCATCGTTTATGCAGCAGCACACTGTATAGCTCACCTGAACTTCTGGCTGCTGCCATCCACACCGACCCTTTGGCCGAATGTATAAGGCATATTCCGCACACGTTTCCTGCTGTTTCGCTCTTGCCTTGCACACTCCCTGCACACGGTTCCTACCATGTCGCTCTTGCACGGCAGCACCCTCAACCTACCCGACCTTTTCGTTGTCATGTGGGTCAGGACGAGCGTGTGACACGGACGGTGCAAGCAACCCGCGAAACCCCGCGCAAAGCCTATTGCTCCGCATTTCAAGGGAGTTCCATAATCCCCTCATTCCCGAGTAAGGCTTTTGTTCGACTGTTGAACCAACCTGCTTACAGATGGCGCCCGCACTTAAGAACCTACCTGTTAAGAACATGAGGCTCAAAAAATCCAAAACTCATGAACATGAGCGTATTTTAGTGGTCCCCGTTAAGAACCTCACACTAAAACCTATATAATGGCCATGCGCAGCCTCAACAGGCAACTAAGAACCCCAGCCTCACGCAAATTAAGATGTTCTTTTCTTAAGTGCGGGCGCCAACTGTATTCAGCTGCTCATTCCTCTCCATCCTCCCCCTCCCCCTCCGCATCTACTCCCGCTCGTCTCTACTCCGCCCGCGGCACGGGGGGGTCTGTGTAATATAATAAATAGGCCTCGTTTAACGGCAGTGATTTTTGACATACCTCATCTCTTTCTGCTACAGAGAAAAAAAAACAACAGTGCCTGCGAACAGCGGAAGTTCGTTGGGTGACTGTCGTTCCACAGCCAATCACATGAAGCCACCTTAAATCGGAAAATTTTCGCGAAAATATACGAAGAGGCGTTTGGGCTGAAGCCCTACCCGTGGTCGCTGAGCCGTCACCCGCGTTCAGACTCCAGAGTCACCAGCAGCTCAGGCCGCCTGACTTCGCGCCGCAGCACGCCGTCACCCCACAATGCCTAGACGCTACCTCAATCTCCTTCACCGGGCTTGTCATGCTAAGGACTACGATCGAGCAGTCCTTCTTGTGGAGGCCGGGACATGCGATGTCAATAGTGCCACACCGGGAGGATTTTCACCACTAATGATTGCTGCGCTGACGCACCAAGGGCGTTTAGCGAGGTACCTTTTGTCGAAGGGAGGTAGTGTGTCTCAAAAGGCTATCAACGGGCGCACGGCGCTGATGGTTGCAGCGGACGGTGGATACCTTGATATCACTACGCTGCTCGTCGATGCCGGTGCTGCAGTCGACACAGCAGACACCGACGGCAAAAAAACAGCTTTACATCTCGCAGTGGAAGGAAAACACCCCGAGGTGGTTAGGTTCTTGCTGGAGGCCAACGCCAACCCCTCCGCCAGAGTCCGAGATGGTCGGACGCCCCTACACGCCGCGTGCTGGATCGGTGATGTACGGACAATTGACTTGCTCGTGAGCGCGGGAAGCGACCCCCAGGCTTCGACGAAAGGCACGAACAAGATGGTCCCTCTGGACTTCGCAGCTGAAAGTGGACAACGCGAAGCCATAGTGTACATGATCTCTATGATTGGTCTTGCTAGCTGCGGAGGAGATTCCGCCGGTTTAATCGCACTCCAGAAGGCCGCCTTCTTTGGTCAAATTGACGCCCTCCGCACCCTAGCAAGCTTTGGTGTGCAAGACACCAGGGGGGTAGCACTGGTGGGGGCTATTTTGTGGGAGACCGACGACAAGTGTGCAAAATTCCTGCTGAGGCACTACGAGGAGCACGCCCTCGGCCACATCAACAGTGCCACCGATACAATCGGTCGTTCCGCTCTCGGTTGTGCCGCGGGCAGGTCTCCCAAGAAAGTCCAGTGGCTTCTCGAGGCCGGTGCGGATGCGACGGCGTTGATGGACCTAGGCGGCATACATCCTACCCCTGAATGATGTCGAAACGCTGATTGAGGCAAGGGAGGAGGAGGACAAAAGGACGCTCAGGAAAGCCATCCGGCGCACGCTGTTACGGGCTCCGGCGATCCAGGGTGTCTCGTGGGATTGGGGGCGACGTACCACGACCTCCACCGATTGCGGCGTCTTAACCGTGATGCCGTGGATCAGGAGGGTGGCGCAGAGGGAGCGGTCGCGTGTGGTGCTGGCCAGACTGATGCGGTGAGTTTTGTCCTGCTCTCTGAGCGTCACTTCAGTAAAAGGCATGAGACAGAGGCAGAAGCCTTCTCGATGATTGTTGTGAATGTTCTCGTGTGTTTCGCTGAGAAAGCCGGACGGGCGAGAACAACAAAAACCCCCTTCGTGGAGAAAATAAAAGAAATGCCCTCCGCACCTTTGCTCGCGCACGTGCAACAGGTTTGCTGCGAAGCTGGATTAGGAGGAGATTCGGGCGAGGATGGCGGTTCTTAGTACTACCGTGCGCGAGGCGACCGTTGTGTTTGTTGATGCTGATAAACGGGCATCTATTGTAGGCCCAAATTTCGCTGTAAGATTGTGCAGGTTTGATGCAGCGGGTCAGCAGCTCAAAACATTACTAATAAATAGAGCGGAGCTTTGCGTTGATTATGATGTACGAGACCTTGCCCCTGAGGTCTTCACGGAGCTGCGATGCAATGCAGAGTGTTTCTTCTTGTTCGGCATGGTGGTTTTCTGTGCGTTTGTTATGTGTTTCTAGTTACATGTAAAGAGCGGGCCTTACAACTCCCGCAGGCACCCTTTGCTCACGGCCCACGCGAGGGCACGCAAGTGTCGACCGGCGACGGCCCCGGTGGTGCATGCGTAGAGCGCCGTTGGGCGTTTGTTCGCGAGCAGTAGGTCGAGCACGCGTGTATTGCCGATTTTCGATGCGTGGTAGAAAGCGGCGTTGTTGATGGACCTGTTGCTTTTCAAGGTTGGCAGAATGCTGATGACCCTTGACACGCTGGCGACGGAGTAGGCCTTACAACTCCCGCGGGCAACCTTGGCTCACGGCCCACGCTCTCACTTCACTTTCCTAGGTATCGCAATTCGAACGGAAGGTCCCACTCGTTCCTCGTGATCATGGTAGCAAGGCGTAAAGCAATCTCAGCGTCTTTGAGAGACGCGACCACCTCCCCAAACAACGAGCTCCCCGCTGTCTTCACCTGTTGATGTATCTCACGCAATTCATCTACGAATTTTTGGATTGCTGCGAGCCTTGTTGCGAACCTAGGCAAATGGTTCCGTCTGTCTCATATGAGTTTTGGTTCATGTAAAACAGTACATCTATAGCATTTGCACAATTTCGTGCAGCTCTCAATGGCATGCGATACGTGGGCGGCGTTTTCAGCACTCGGTCGTCAGCCCCCTTCTTCAATTCCGCGACTGCTCTTGTGAATTGGGCCTGCTTCCCTTCCTCCTTCCAGCCCTTCAGCACAGTTATGTCTCTACCAAAGTAGCGGTTAGCAAAGTAGTCTTGTTCTTTTCCCGCAAGATTTGCCATCGCTTTGTGCAACGTGTTCCTATCTACATCCTTCCCACTCGTTTCGAACACATTCAGTGCAACGCGCGCCTCGTGCAAAGCTTCTTCGGCATCACCGTATGGCTCCTTCAGGTACACCATACGCACGTTGTGTACGGGTGGCAGCGTAGGGTCAATGGGGTTGAGCCCGCTGCGGGACATGAGCTTCGCTGTCAGCGAATCCATTCTGTATTGTTTTATGTACGATCAACATAATTTTTTTGCTTACAAGCACCATTCGCCTACCACACTCGCAACCACTGTGTCCACTGTCGAAAATACACACGCGCGTTCATCTGGCCCCCACAAATATGTTTCAAAACTTCAATTACAGCAGTCATGGACCTCATTGAGAATATGGACACCTCAAGCATCCGCGTGGACAAAGACACGAGGAAGGGAAGTGCCATAGACACAGTCCGAATGGTCCTTGGAGGCGACTCGAGTGCGGCAAATACCCCCTTGAAACGTCTGGTTCAGGCAAACCCAAACATTGGATCTCGGAGCACCCAACTACGAATCAATGGAAAAGGAAAGGTGACGCCAGTCGCCGATGCCAAAACCCTTGTCGAAATCGTGTGGCTTCTCCCCGGCAAGAAAGCACACACTTTCCGTCGCCAGTCATCCGAAAAGGTCTGTCGTCTGCTCGGCAGCGACCTGAGCCTCGTGTCCGAGATCGAGGCCCGCCACGCTACTCTCCAGAGCACCGAACAGGGGCGCGCGACTCAACAATTTCTACTGCATGGACCCGAGGAGGCGGTCGAAACATTCGATGGCATGCCGGCCGGTTTCAAGTACCTTGCGGAGAAAGACCGTGCGGAGCTCGCCAAACGGATGTTTGAACAACAGCTCAAGATTGGTGAGCAGAAGCTACTCGAGAGCTCGGTGGCACTCAAACGGAAGCGCTGTGACGACATGGTTCAGGCATACAAGTCACTGAAGGACATTGGTGTAATTCTGGACGATCGCACTTTGATCGAGTTACGTGATAACGTGACCATACTCGCGAGGCAAGACCTGGTCATCAACGACGCGGTGGCGATCGCTTCACCGCTTCTGCAAGATTCGGCCATGCCCACACACGAGCTTGACGCCGCACAAAGGGGCAAGGAGACGGGAATCGTGGTGGTATCCTCGAAGATTGGAATAAGGGTTCCTCAACACATGTCCGGCACTGTTGGAAAAAGGATGAAGAAGCTGTACATAAAAAAGTACAACCTAGCCCCCAATTTTAACGCTTTTGTCAAGAGGCAGACGCTGTTCAACGGACGCCTGATCTACGAAAATGTGTACAGCGAACGCGACGAGGACATCATTGAGCAAGCTATCCGCGAAGTTATACGAAAATAAAGTAATTTTAAGTTTTTACCCGAATCAGCCAACACTTGTACACAAAAAATTGGCCACTAACCCCAACACGATAACGTCTTGAGGCTATTGCACATCGGGCACTTGTTGACCGTCAATTTTTCCGCACAAGTTTTACACAACCATTGGCAACATATTCTACACGAGACAATCTGTGTCGCGGGAACTTCAGGCGTCTCGCAGATCTTGCACAACCAGTCTTCAGATGTAGCACATTGCTGGAAGAAGGCCCTCCACTCTGAAGCCGATTTGCCATAATCCCACGAATGCACCACACCGTTGCAAAAAAGTAAACCAATGACCCCCTCGCAGTCCTGTTCAGGTGCGCTAAGCACGCTCCCCCCATCCAGCCGCCGGTTGTACAGTGTTACACACATCTTCATGTTGGCAATATCGTCTTTATCGCGCACAATTGTCACAGTTCTGGGTTCATCTTCGCTCATATTGAACGCCCTGATAGTTTCTTTCATCGGAAAGGCGAATGCCCCACGTTCTTTCAACCTGAGGTATTCTACCTCCAAACCCATCTCATCGCAAACCTCGAGTAAGTTATCCATGCTTGGTGTCACAACGGTATAAATGCAGGAATACATTATATTTGCATCTATACAAACAGTGCCAATGCCACGCATCCTACCCCCAGCTGAATACGTGTCCTCTGGTAGCCAATACGACCTTAATTTGACCAGGTTTTTCTTTGGTAAGTAGGGTGGTGTTGAGTAAACACCGGGGTAGGATGGTGTTGAGTTGACACCAGGTGCGGTGGTGTCGAGTAAACACCGGTTTTAGGTGATGTCGAGTAAACACCATGCTGATTTGAGAAAAGGACGCCTCGCTCGCGAGTCCTGACGCCCCATCCTGTATATCTTGTTACCCCTTACATGTAAGCCCCTACCGGACTTGCTTTCACCTGGTTAAGGCACATGCAACATTGGTTAGGCCAAGTTAAGGGCGACAAGGGTCATCGTACCTCGATTTTAATTTTTTCAGGATATTTAGGAGATGATTAAAAGTAACCATGCAATTAATACACACACACACACACACCTCAACATGGCGGGCAGAGCAAACCCGCGCCCCTTAGCTCTGCGCCTCAGCAGCGGCATCATCACAGTCAGGACAGGTGCAGCGGCAGCAGTCTTGATGGTTGGGGTGGCAGCATGCGTACCCCTGGGCCACAGCCAGGAAGTAGCCGTCACCGCTCCCGCCCGCAGTAGCAAACGTTGGGCGGCCTTGCACTCGTTGGCGTTAGACAGAGCTTCACCTGTACCGACAACGCCTGTCTCGAGAAGAATAGTCATGACATCCACGGATGGATATGATGCTGCAAACGCGAGAGCGAGTGCACCATTACTCGGCCCACCACAACCCTCGATTCCAAGGCGTTGCAACAGCTCTCTAACGATGTCGGTGTGGCCCGATGCCGCCGCAACTTCCAGTGGGTAAATTGCACTGGGACCCGACCTGGGCAACAGGGCACTGGCTTTCGCACGCAGGAGCATCTTGACCGCTACCAGATGTCCTAATTCAGCTGCCTTGAATAGCGGTGTCTCCCCTTGCAGATCACGGAGGTTGACGTTCGCACCGGCAGCGATGAGCACTGACATGGTCATGAAACTCCCAGCGATGGTAGCCAGGTGAAGCGGCGTCTCTCCGGTGATTTCCCTCGCATCCGGGTCGGCCCCGCGCTTTACCAACAACTTGACGAGGCCAAGGTTGTCAACAAACTTCGATGCAATGTGAAGTGGGGTGGAGCTGTTGGTGTCCACCGCGCCGATGTTTGCACCTTCTTCGATCAGTAGCATCGCAATGTCCAGCAGTTCGGCACCGCATACTTTATCACCAGCAGCAAGAAGATGGAGCGATGTTGAGCCAAACGTGTTGGATACGTCCAGGTTTGCACCTTCCCTGACCAGCATCTCTGCCAAAGGCACGAGTCCAGTCACGTACACACAGGTAAACATCAGTGGTGTACAACCCCTACCGTCCACGGCGTCGATGTTTGCACCAGACTTGACCAGCACCTTTGCGGCTTCCACGCGCCCCTTCGCTGGCCGCCCTTTGTGTGATAGGAGGTGGAGAGGCGCGTCCCCGTTGCTGTCTTTGGCGTTGGCATCTGCTCCAAACTCGAGCAGAATCTCCGCGACCTCCAGGCCGGCGTCACCAATTTCGCCGCGGATAGCCAAGTGGAGCGGTGTGGAACCAGTGACGTCCTTCGCCCCGTGGTTCGCGCCACGCTCGAGGAGAATCCTTGTTACGTCCGGGTATGGAATCGAAAAGAACAGAGCCGTCCGCTGCCGGGAAAGTGTCACGCCTTCGGTGTCGGCACCACGTTCGACAAGCAATTTGGTGACTCTGTTATCGCCTCGTGCGGACGCCATCGTGAGTGCCGTCTCCCCATCGACCTTACTGTTGGCATTGACGTCATCAACCCCAAGACCAAGTCGTGCTAAGATTTTCTTTACACTTCCTTCCGCCACAGCGCGGTGTAGGTGGTTGTAATCTCCGAGAGGATAATTGCTTAAACCCCCAGGCATCGTAAATGGTTAAGCAGAGAAGGTAATGCAGGTGTGGAGGAAAAGAGTGTCAGAGACAAGAAAACAGATGTACTTCACCGTTCGCGGAGCAAGCATTTGAAATGGAACTGTGGCCGCGGGGGACGAGGTGGACCACCGTTTGACAACACTGATGTTTCGAAAAATATAATCATTGACACATGTACAGGCTTCTATGAATATGGACTTGAGTGAAATTTGTGTGAACCACGCTTTGTCGCAAGCTAACTCAGCCCGACATCCCGAATGTATAGAAGCAGAGACGCATCGCAGAACAGAGAAGACAAGTTACATCTGGGAAACTTTTCGGGAATATCTCCGGCCGCCGACAGAAGACACTGGTGTTGAAACAAAATATATTTGCAACATCCGTTGCCACTTTACCTGCATGTCTTCTTTTGTAAAAGACAGGAAGAGGTACGTTTGGTACTTTAACCCATGGGGGTTCATCGGCGACCTACAACAAAGCCTTGAAATGAACAGACTGCCAAAAACTGACATTGAACAAATGATACACGAAGAAGCTGAAATAGATGCTCTTGTTTTCCAATCGAAATTTGAAACTCCTCGTGACCTGTTGACTACAAAAGTTGTATTTAAAGATTACACGGAAGAACCAGAGCGGCTTGCCGTGCACGCGATGATACTGGACCACTTGATGAAAAAGGTACCGGACGTTGACATGCAGCGGAAAATCTCCGAATGGAGCCTTTTAACTAAACTGCCACCAAATGAGCGACTCATAATCACGAAAAAAAATCCTGATTGGACACCTTTCGGCCCCGAGAAAAATCATCCAATGGTTGTGCTTTACACGGCAAAACTGCTGACTAATGCCGATCACCTTGAGGTGATCCATCCTCAAGATTCCATGGCACTCATAGGGCCGCAGCGTCAATACAATGACGGCCTGAGCGCAGAGACGAAGCAGTGCCTGCGAAGTCTTAATCTTTTCCAATTTGGAGGATGTGTAATTTGGACAATTTTGTACATGCGAAGGGTTGATGTTACTATTTCCCGCATGCTGCAGGGTCGACGATCGATTGAGGGCATCTTGGACACTATCAGAGGCAGACCCGCCCACGACCATCTCGACGGGGAGAAAACACACGCATCTGCACGGTCGGGATTGGCGAAATACATGGACGAATACTTCGCGTTTTCTACGCACTTGGGCCAGTTTACCGCGAATACCCCGTGACCATTCGCTCGAAAATGAAAAGAAAAAGCACAACACCAGATGGTATCATCACGAACTGGCATCGCGAAGTTTTGGAAAAGTTTAATAGAGTGGTGGCAAGGGTAGCGCAACTTGGTCCGGACGAGAACACGGCTTATATATCGTTGGGGTACGTCGAATGTTTCTACGCGGTGACATTGAGGGACGGAGTTGTAAGCCCCGGTGACATGGAAACTGTCCGGAAAGTGTGCGTTGACGTGGAAAGAAGTAGGCTATACTCATGGGAACATTTTATATTTTGATTCTTTCATAACCATGGCCACCATGTTGATCTTCTGCAAACACGAAGCGGAAGCGTCTGACCAAGGAGCGAGTGTGGGTGATATCGACTACCCGTCTCTGACCCGTGATGGTCGAGACAAAACTGCCAATTACCTTCGCGAGCACGCGAAAGAGTATGGTTACGGGTACAATGGAGAAAACGAGTTTAAGAAAAGAAAAGAATGAAACCACCACCACTCTCGCGCCCCAGGACGGAGTCACTTGCGCTCCTGCTGCTACTTCCTGGCGCTATCGCCTCCGGTAGCACGGGGCTCGACAGTCACCATCTCCCACAACGACACCCGAGGTTTAAAACCGCACCTATGGTGCCTGATGCTGCCACAGCCACGGGGCTCGTGGTATGCGGGAGATTCGACAAGGAATCCTCTGCAGTACGAAGTTGGGGTAAACCTCAAGAAGAAGGACAAGGCAGAAAGGAAGACCAGGAGTATTCCGTTCGCACTCTTGCACGAGTACGTTAAGACGTTCAGTATCCATGTCTTGCTTTCACCTGCTTAAGGCACATGCAGGGGCGACAGTGGTTATGCCACTTTAAGGGCAAAATTGGCGTCGAAACGGCACACAAACCACACCCCACCCAGCACCCTTCATTTGGTACCTCTGCAGACACAGACACGGCTTCAGGCGAATTGGACCGTATTCCTTTGTCCGCCAATGACACGAAGCCCTACACACAGACACAGGCGAACTGGACCGGCCTTCACAGAAAGCCGACAACGTTGCGAAACACGCCTTCTTCCACCACCCTAAGCTGAGCAACCGCCGCAAACAGGTCAAAGCTCTCCTTCCCGCCGCGAGCCCCGCACTGCTGCTTCACCGAACGCGCTCCCGTAGCACCACCGTCACCACTTGAACCACCCGAGCCACCAGCCTTCGGGGTGCGCGAAAAAACCATGACGAGCCAGCCTCGGCGGCGCCACGCCCTGTCGGCGGGAGCCCGGGCCAGCAGGAGGCGGACGGCCTCGTGTTGAGGCCTTGACTCGTCGATGAGATCCGCGGGAGTCTTCCCGTCTCTATCCAAGGCTGTTTCGTCCGCCCCCCACTGCAGCAGGAGGCTGACATGTTCGACACTGTTCAGCGAGGCGGCGACGTGTAGAACAATAAGCTGTTTGTTTTTACTACGGACGGTGCGGTCGCATCCGGTCGCTAGTAGACACTCGACCACAGGCAGGTGACCCGCTATGATTGCGTGCAACAGCGGGGTTTTACCGAAATCATCGCGAGCTTCCTTATCCGCTCCCCTGTCCAACAAGACATTCACGACAGGCAGGTGACCGACGTCGACTGCCTGCAACAGCGGGGTTTTACCAAAATCATCGCGAGCTTCCTTATCCGCTCCCCTGTCCAATAAGGCATTCACGACAGGCAGGTGACCCGCCATGGTTGCGTGAAACAGCGGGGTGTCACCGATATTATCGCGAGCTTCCTTGTCCGCTCCCCCGTCCAACGAGGCATTCACGACAGGCAGGTGACCCACCGTGGTTGCTAACATCAGCGGGGTGTCACCGATTTCATCGCGAGCTTCCTTGTCCGCTCCCCCGTCCAACAAGGCATTCACGACAGGCAGGTGACCCATCGTGATTGCGCCCGTCAGCGGGGTGTCACCGGATTCATCGCGAGCTTCCATATCCGCTCCCCCGTCCAACAAGGCATTCACGACAGGCAGGTGACCCTCTGCGGCTGCGAACAACAGCGGGGTTGCACCCTCGTCGTCGCGCGCGTCCTTCGCTGCTCCCGACTTTAAGAGAGCATCCACTATCCCACCAGATCCCTTTGCGGCAGCTAGGTGGAGAGCAGAAATCGATTGGTCGGTGGTGATGGCGACGTCGACACCAGCGTCCAACAACGCCTCCACGACGGGCAGGTGGCCTTTGTCAGCTGCTTTCATCAGGGGTGTCTCGCCCACGTTGTCCTTGAAGTTTTTGTCGGCTCCGAAATTGTCCAAGAGCGCCATCACTAACCCCGCATTCCCCTTGGTGGCAGCAGTGCAGAGAGGTGGAGTTTTAACATCTCCGTCGATGAACGCGGTCAGAAGCTCTTTCATCTCCTTCCGCGTTTTGGCCTCCATGTCGATATGAGTGATCTACGAACAACAGAAACGGGGTGGAAATTAGGATGTTTGTTCACCGTTGTGTGCCGGGATTCTGGTTTTTGTTCGTGACACGCGACGCCGGCTATGTCGCCCAGATATGGCGCTCTTGCTTGCCCCTGCATTCCTGCCCCTTGGGCCCTGTGTATTATTAGGTGGTTTTAGCCACGTGCTGGTATCGTTCGATTTGGCCCAAAAATTGCCCTTTGCGCCCCAGTACTAATTTGCGTAATTCCACCAGATTTTCGGCTGCTACTGCCGACACCGCCACGGTGGTCTGCCAATGAACTTTATTACAGGAGAAGATTGATGTTTTCGCAGCGTCCACATTCAGGGAAAAAAACACTCCTCGATACACTTCTGCTTATGCTGTACCGGCCACCAGGCGCCGTTTTTACATTGTCAAACACCCCCCCTGGCATCATCTCTTTTTGAAAAGTTCAATTAAGTGGTGGCAAGTGTTAAACAACTTGATCTAAACCAGGACACGGAGTATATATCGTTGAGGTACGCCGAAGGTTTTTACGTAGTCACATCAAAGGACGGAATAGTAAGCCCCGGTGACATGGAAAGAAGTAGGCTACACTCCGGTGAAGCGGAAGCGTCTGACCAAGGAGCGAGTGTGGGTGATATCGACTACCCGTCTCTGACGCGTGATGGTCGATACAAAACTGCCAATTACCTTCGCGAGCACGCGGAAGAGTATGGTTACGGGAACGATGGAGAAAACGAGTTTAAAAAACAAAAAGCATGAAACCACGACCACTCTCGCGCCCCAGGACGGAGTCACTTGCGCTGATGCTGCTACTTCCTGGCGCTATCCCCTCCGGCATCACGGGGCTCAACAGTCACCATTACCACAACAACACCCTATGGTGCCTGATAATCGGCGCCCCAACCTATATATCGCTTGAATTTCTCCCCGTCTATCTTGTTACCCCTTACATGTAAGCCCCCGATAAAGGAATCCTGCAACACAGGCCACCACTTGTTCCGGCGCTTCCTGAACCCAAAATCTGACGCCGGTAACACAACGCCCCTCGGGATGCCTAGTGGACATTCGCCTCGCTGGAGGCAGTGCTGGTCCAATCCCCCCCTCTCTGTATTTAGCCTCGCGATTGCAAAGCTTTGCGAGCCACCCATAATCTCGCAGTGTCGCCGCCCTGCTGAGCAACTGCTGGACTTGTCTATACCCCCTTTTGTCTGACGAATATTTCGCCAGGAGGGACATCGGAGTCAAAGCGATCCCAACTTCCGCAGTATCGTCTGCTCCTGCCCTCAGTATACTTCCTACGACCATGGGGTCGAGTTTTTCGACGACGCACGCGAAAGGCAGTGCCATATATTGTTTTTCGTCGCGCTGGTTTGCGTCGGCACCAGCCTCGAGCAGTGCCCTTACCACTGATTCTTCCCCTTGCATTGTTGCCACTACAAGCGGGGTTAAACTTTTCTCGTTGGTGGCCTTTGGATCTGCCCCGAGTGCTATTGCACTCTTTACTTCCGATCCTGTCTCCGGGTACACAGCAGCCGAGTGAAGATAAGTGTTACCGCCGCCGTAATTTTTTGTCACTTGAGTTGTGGCGATGGTCACAGCTTCATCTAACTTTCCAAGGAGAGTCCTTGTTTCGGCGATGCCCTCCGATTCGGAGAACAAGTCAAGAACCCCTCCTTCCTCGAGAGCCGACAGCAGGCGGCGTATCTTCCCAGCCAACTTCCGTTGGAGGATAGCAACTTCAGCAATTATAAAAACGCCGGATGTCCCGCCCCGCAGTTGGCCAACTTTGTCGTTGACATCCGCGGTGTCCCGACGGTACTCTCGGACGAGTATTTCAAGACGTTCAGCATTCATGTCTTTCGTTCACCTGCTTGAGGCACGTGCAGAGACGAGAGTGATTAGGCCATGTTAATGGCAGACAAGATTTGCTCTTCTTTTGTACCATATACGTCGTTGATTGACATCGAGGCCATCAGGGTGCTTATTACCCGGTTGTTTTCGCCGTAGATGATTCGTGTATGCACGTGTGCCGTTTATTCATCGGGGCTGGCTGTGAGGCTTGGGCGAACGATGAGTGCCGGTGGCGCGTCCCGCGAGAAAACCTTTGATCATGCTTCCTTCGTGGTGGACGTTGAATCAGAGCGTGTGTAAATTTGACATCACGTAACGTTTTGATAAATGAAAGGGGGGCAGCCATGGCGATGCTTCGAATTTTCCTTGGGAATCCGTGGAAGTACAAAGCCATGCTGACAGCCCAGGGGGAGTTAGGAACCCCCCCCACCCTTGTATTGTTTTGTTTCCTGGAGTGGTTTCAACTTCGGTTTAAGAAGAAAAGAAAATGTAGGTCTACTCACCCCGTGAGTGTCACACAATGCCCAGACCCAAAGTAACCCGCTCTTTGCCTAGCCTCGTCACTTCACAATCGTAGTCAAAAGGTACCTTGTGATGAGGATTATTCTGTCCCAGCGAATATTTTGCGCGTATTTTTTCCCTTACATCTTCTCCCCCCCCTTCAATGTAAGCCCCCCCGCTGAAGGAATCCTGCAACACAGGCCACCACATGATCCGTCGCTTCCTGCACCAAAAAATTGACGACGGCATGCCTGGGGGAGCGCCTTGCTTTCGACAGTGCTGGTCCGATTACCCCCTCTCGGTATTTCGCCTCCCTATTGCGAAGGATGGCCAGCCACCCATAGCGGCGTAGTGTTTTTGCCCTGCTGAGCAACTGCCGGACTTGCTTGAACCCCGTCCTCTTTTAAGAACATTTCTCCAGGAGGGACATTGGAGTCATAGCGTAGCAAACTTCGGCAGTATCGTCTGCTCCTGCTCTTACTAATCGATCTACCACCTTGGTGTTTAGTTTTTTCGCCAAAACAGCCATATGGAGTGCCGCAAAATCGTCCCCGTCGCGGAGGTTGCAGTCGGCACCAGCCTCCAGCAGTGTCTCTACCAACGATTCATTTCCCCACATTGTTGCTAATATGAGCGGCGTACAACCATCGTCATTGAATACGTTGATATCTGCTCCAAGTGCTATGGCACTTTTCATCTCCGCTACTGTCGCCGAACTCTACCAAATAGCTATATTAGAGGGCAAGATTGAGGAGTCCACATTCAGGGAACAAAACACTCCTCGATACACTTCTGCTTGTGCGTGTACCGGCCACCTGTGGCCGTTCTTACATTGTCAAACACTCCCCCCTGTACCGGGACGCACGACTCTACGCGTTGCCTGGCAGTGGCCGTAGGTCTGTTGTACGGAGTTCTACACTCGAAACCACTGGTGGGTTCTGGGTCTGGCACAGGTGATGCCCGAGGCCTCTCTCTCTCTCTCTGTTGCCGTCAATGTCCTTGTCCTCCACCCGCCGAAGGGGCGGCATTTCTCAAAATACGAATCTCTTCTTTCAGCGTCTCTATCTCGGCCTTGAGACGGTTGGTGGTGAGCAGACCATCGTCCACCGCCGCCCTCAAATCGAATATCGTTTGCTGCAGAGCGGCCTTGGCTCGATTCAGACCGTCGATCGTACGGTCTTTCTCTCTAGATTCGCCACGCGTCCTTGCCAAACGCTGAGATATAACGCCTATCTCCTCCTCTAGACTAGTAAGCTCGGACCGCATGGAATTCTTTTCGGACTCGCACGTATCGAGCGACTGCCCGCATGCCAGCAACTGGGTTTCCAATCGTTCAATCTTCGCCGTCAAGCCCGGAACCCGGGGGTCATCCGACGTTCCACGCGAAGAGCGGGGGTATTTCACCGGTGGCCACTTTGCTCTCCCACAGGGAGTGGGTGTTCACACATTTACTTCCACAAGGGTGCACGTATCCCAGTCTTTTTTTCCAATAAATACATTGACAAGGTGCTTGGGCATCTACCTGCCAGGGTTCCATGGTTTGTGACACCCTGGGATATGTGCACCCTTGTGGAGGTACGGGGTTCGGAACCCTGTCAAGGTTCCGTTGTTTGTGACACCCTGGGATATGTGCACCCTTGTGGAGGTACGGGGTTCGGAACCCTGTCAAGGTTCCGTTGTTTGTGACACCCTGGGATATGTGCACCCTTGTGGAGGTACGTGGTGCAGAACCCTGTCAAGGTTCCGATGTTTGTGACACCCTGGGATATGTGCACCCTTGTGGAGGTACGGGGTTCGGAACCCTGTCAAGGTTCCGATGTTTGTGACACCCTGGGATATGTGCACCCTTGTGGAGGTACGGGGTTCGGAACCCTGTCAAGGTTCCGATGTTTGTGACACCCTGGGATATGTGCACCCTTGTGGAGGTACGGGGTTATAGGAACCCTGTCAAGGTTCCGTTGTTTGTGACACCCTGGGATATGTGCACCCTTGTGGAAGTACGTGGTGCAGAACCCTGTCAAGGTTCCATGGTTTGTGACACCCTGGGATATGTGCAACCTTGTGGAGGTACGGGGTTCGGAACCCTGTCAAGGTTCCATGGTTTGTGACACGCTGGGATATGTGCAACCTTGTGGAGGTACGTGGTGCAGAACCCTGTCAAGGTTCCATGGTTTGTGACACCCTGGGATATGTGCAACCTTGTGGAGGTACGGGGTTCGAAACCCTGTCAAGGTTCCGTTGTTTGTGACACCCTGGGATATGTGCAACCTTGTGGAGGTACGTGGTGCAGAACCCTGTCAAGGTTCCGTGGTTTGTGACACCCTGGGATATGTGCACCCTTGTGGAGGTACGGGGTTCGGAACCCTGTCAAGGTTCCGTTGTTTGTGACACCCTGGGATACGTGCAACCTTGTGGATGTACGTGGTTCGGAACCCTGTCAGGGTTCTATGGTTAGTGCGACCTTGTGATGGCATGCACGTAACGCGTCTTATAAATAGCTATCATATTTCATATTTCGCAATGTACCCCGACCAGGTAGAACACACACGTTCACACGGACAGTACACGGCCGGCCATGTACATATCACTCGAAAAACAATCCGCGACGCCTACACATACCCGGCAAGGGTACTCCGTATACTACATGACGACAGTGGAAGAAATGTATATAGCGCCGCAGAAAATAGCGTGGGTTTTGCTCATCCACTGTGCAAATTACGATCAAAGGTCCTAACCGGTATGCTCTTCTTGCTCTGTGTTGATAGGAACACAATTAATGCAGCCTGTGTCAATCTCTCTCTCTTCCATATGCCTCTTTGCTACAGACCCTCTCCCCTGCTGTTCACCAAAACGTTCTGACTGTCGCGTCCGCCGCATGTATCCCCTGTTCCCAAAAAATCCAAAGCGCCCCCACAAACCACAGATTTGAACTGTACTCTATGTAGTCCTACCGTAAAAATTAGCCACACGAAATAAAAAAACGCGAGAAGGATATCCCAACTCACTCAAAACGCATCATTCAGCGGCAATCCAAACAATGCGATGCAAGAGGGTGTGGTCGCCACACCCGATACACCCGATATCACCGAAAGCCGGTGGCCCGCGCATTGTGCTCTCTGCACCCGTCGAAATCGAGGCCTCGATGGGGGGGGCAAATCGGAAGAGGTCGTTCTCCTTTGTGGGGGCTGGTTCCGCCCTCAAGGCGTCGACGACCCCATTGCGTCTGCTGTTTCCGGGACGGATTGGGAATCGTCCCCAGCAGAAGAACCTGTCGAGAGGTCGAGAACAACGGAAAGAGGGCGCCCGCCGCAAGGATGTCGATAAAACAACTTAGACACTGGGTTACACAGATAGCTATATAGCGGTACTAAGCAGGGAACGACCAGAAAAAGAACGCAACAACGACCACCCGAACTTGAAACTTGGAAAAGGTTGCAAGTCGCTCGCCGATTTTAGTTGACCTGGTAAAGGACGCCTCTTCATACTCAACAATCTCAACTTTTGAAAGAAAACATCGCGCGGGGGGCCAAACAACAGGGTTGAACTGGTGCCCAAAACCTGCCCGGGGGTCATCAGGTTGGGACGTTGTGAATCGACCTCAGATAACCCTTGGTCTAGGCTTCGACCAAAGCCTCAGTCCGTTATGCGCGGCTAGCTGCATAGGTACGTCGGCGTACTACCTGACCCTCGGGAGGTTTTGGGGAGGTTGTGCACCAGATACAACCTGCTTTGGCCACCCGTGATGCTCAAAGAATCGCCAGGTCATATATCCGCACTCTGCCCAACACTTTGATTTTGCGCACACAAAACAGGCCCTAACCGTCCCGCGATCAAGTAGTTTTGCTGTTGAGGCGCATAAAGTCGCGTCTTCTTGCTCAAAGGGCATACCAACGAGTCGACTTGCCAATCGATCCGGAGCTATTCTGAGCTTGCGCTGCGGGGGCTGATGGCGTAGTAGCCGGCTCGCCACCAGAAACCGGGCGCTTGAGGTACGGGCGGCAGAAGGAGACGAGGTCGGCCGATTGGATGTCGTCTTCGTTCATGGTGGTGAGCTTATTCATCGGACGATTCTCCCCGTCCACATCTTGAGGAAAGTCCCCCACATTCTGTAATTTTTCCAGTGCGGGCACGCAAAAGGGTAGAAATAGCGGGCATGAACCACTCTACATCGCAACAAATGCACCTATATCCCTTACCACACACGTAGACCCCCCTCTCCAGCTTCAATTGGAAGGCACCGTGGTCACCGATATCTCGACGAATACTAAACGACGTGCCTTATGAATGGTATCCGGAAGGAGGTAATGCCATGGGCTGTTGGGCAATGCCAAGGTTTGGCGCCGTGAGGTGCCAAATGCGCCGGGAAAAAAAGTTTGTGTTGACGCACGAACGTCAACGGCCGCGAGGGGTTCAAGTCCGGAAAGCTTTACCGCCACGGGGTGGGTTTGGTTTTCGACCGATAACTTTCCGAAGGAGGAAGCAACAGCAGTATAGCAAGGACACTCGGCGGGAGGTACCTCTCTGCTCCATCTTTCATGCCCAAGGTTTGGTACCGTGGGGTATCGTGCGCCGCGCCGGGAAAATGTTTTTTTGGTTGACCCTAAAATACCTACGCGAGAGAGCGTTTGGTTCAAGTTCCCCGAAATTGTGTGCTCATGGTTTGGTTCCCCAGCAAAAAACTATTCGAAGGAGGAAGCAACAGCAACAGCAGTGCAGCTCCGAGGGATTTAGCTCTACCCAGCATCTTTCTGGTACCAGGTTGGATGCCTTGGGGTGTCGTGAGTGTGGAGAAAAAAGTTACAACTACCCTCTCCCGCTGGCCGGTTTCTTCACGGTGTGGCATGGACGTGTGCCCGCTTCCCGCCGTTGCACAAAAAAAAAAGAAGAGCACGCCTCCGCATTCCACAGTCCGGAGAAGAAAGCCAACTGCCCCATAACGATCGTGCACCAAAAGTCATTTGACAAAAGTTCCCGATGAAGTTGCAGGAAAAGTATTTGCAACATTCTGCTCCAATCAAAAGCGGTGTAATCACAAATGCTTGAGTGCGAGAGTACAAGACCGAGACGCACAACAAATCAAACAAAACAACTCACTCGTCGGTGAGGCTCTGGTTCTTGGAGCCGCCGCCCTGCATCAGCACACTCCATCTTGCCGTTCGCTCCATTGCGTCAGCCTGTGCCCTCGCCAGATCATGCTCGTCATCAGGCACATCAAGGTCTGGCGCTTGTGTAGACAAGATCGACGACAGGGCCGAACTGATAAGAGGCCGCAACAACTGTCGCAGAAACAAGGGAAGAAGAAAGGGCAATGAATGAGAGACGATCTCCGTGAGATATATGACCGGTGTGAAAGAGGTGGTATGGGCGCAGGAAACAAAAACTACGAGACATGCACCGATGACTGTTGGATTTTGGTGACGGCGCGATCGAGGAAAGAAACACAGTTACAGTATAGTTTCCGTTTAGCGGCTGAGGGTGGCATTCCATTAGTTGTGGTTACCCTTTCGACGAAGAGCTTGTTTATAGATGTCGTCCCCTTCGGCCTGAGCACATCGCGCAACGTAACATTCTGGCGCGGAAGGTCGGCCCGGTGCCCTCCCAGGACCTTGTGCAAGATGCTGTACCTGAGGAGGACCGTGGCCTGCGTGATTCGCGAAAAATAGTTTGACGTGGCGTGCCCCAAACGCATGTGTGTGA